CCTTTGGTATATGGATGGCCTTATTTCTGTTCATGAACAAGGGATGAAACAGGAGGCGCCAATCTAAGTGCAGTAATTAAAACCGTGTTTAATGGTAAAGGATAAAAAACACTCACAAGATAAAAAAAACAAGCTCATCTGTGTGTGAGAGGGATGATCGTTCCTCAACGTCCTGCAGGCACCACCGGTGGCATGGGGGTGTATGCTGGGCTGATGGAGATGTGTGAAGGCACAATGGAGGTCTGTCCTGTAGAATAATGGTGCTGTGAAGCTGATCCAGCCATGTCTGTACAGGAAGAGGCCTACAACCAGCTTGGAGCACACTGGTGGAAGTGACATCACCGGGACAGGCAGAGGGTCAGTCTGATCACGAGGCACAAACGTGGGACAAGCAGGCACGGGCTCGGAGCCTCTAGCTCCTTCAATTGGCCGCTGGATTGGCTTCACAGCACCATTACTCTACAGGACAGACCTCCATTGTGCCTTCACACATCTCCATCAGCCCAGCATACATCCCCCATGCCACCGGAAGGTGCCTGCAGGACATTGAGGAACCATCATCCCTCTCACACACAAACAATTTTTTGTGATTTTAAAGACTCTGAGTTTTGGAAGAACATGACAATTGGAAAACATTTTTCAATGTCTATCCTATGGCCCATAATTATTTTTCTAATTCTACTTGAAATTTTTGGCAGCCCGAAACGTGAACTGGTTTGAAACACTTTTCTACCTATATTACAATGTTTAAGTCACCTGTGCCATACAAATAAGTTAACAAAGGTGGTAACTTAAAAACACAACTAACACCAGTAAATAATTAGCAATAGCAAATGCTGCTTTAGTGAAAGTATATTAAAAAGGGAAACAAGCACTGTGAGAAGCAGCACTGTTTCTGCTCTGAGGACTTAGGATAGAAAAGAGCAAAGACAGCAGTCTTAGGCTACATTCACACAACAGGGTAGCAGTGGACAGGGGTGACCACCAGCAAAAATCAGTAGATTCTTGCTGATGGTTGTAAACAATGCTTGTATCCCCCCTCTTAGATTGTAAGCTCAAAGGAGCAGGGCCTCTTAACCCTCTTGTATTGAACTGTATTGTTGCTCTGTTGTCTCCTGTTATATTGTAAAGCACTGAGCAAACTGTTGGCACTATATAAATCTTGTATAATAATAATAATTATCTACTGTGTGTAAACAGCTGCTACTGTCAGATTTGTACTATGTGTAAATCAATGGTTTGTGCCACTTCTGTTCACATGTAAATGCTCATCTGAGTGATTATTATTATTATTATACAGTATTTATATAGCGCCAACAGTTTGCTCAGCACTGTACATTACAATGGGGGACAATACATGAGACAGTACAATAACAATACAGTGCGATACACAAGGGGTTCGAGGGCCCTGTTCCTTGGAGCTTACAATCTAGGACACATGTAAATAAAGCCTACTGACAGATCTTGGACACAGACCATGAGCATTCAGGGTCAGCGTTTCTGTGAGACTTTGGCCACACACAAACTGGCCACAGCTAACAGTCAGTTATATACAGTCTCCAGCTATCACTGCTACATATATGACTTCTTAGTGTGGAAAGAGGGGATAGGAGGGGAGAGGCTGTTTAAGCTATTCAAAGTTGTCCATAGTTGCCAACATTTTAAAAGACCTTTTTCACCTTATGTTCAGCAAACCATTTTAGGTTGAGAATCACCCGAGGAGGAGTTACAGTGCTGAAGTCACGCCGCTGCGCAATCCCAGGTCGGCAGAGGCCACAAATGTAAGCTGGCTTATTTGTGTTTACCTTTATTTGTACACATTTGGCTTTTATAATAAATACTACACTGTGGAAAGCACTTTTTGCTCTTGGTGAGCCTTATTTTGCTAGAGCTTGCATTAGAGAGGATGCTCTTTTTACACCGATTGTCGTGACAAGCTGCATCTGAGACTAGCTGAGGTTTACAGGCGTTTATGCTGCTGTAGTGGCAGCCGATAGTTCCAGTGAATTTGCAATTCACTGGGAGACGGTGGTGGTTTTTCTTGTTACGTATTTGGCTGTCTCCTATCAAGAACACTCTTTGAGGTTGATGGATCAACAAATGCTTACTGAACACTGAATTGTGTATATGGACACTGATGATATTCACATGATCATTTTTTTTTCACTTTGACTATTAAGCGCTGCACTTATTATTTATTTTGTTGTTCAACTGAGTTGTACAGTTTATAAGTTACATAAAGGTGGAAAAAGTTCTGCAATGATTTATCTTTGCCTCATTTTTTTAAATCACAGAAGCCTAACATTTTAACAGGGGTGTGTAGGCATTTTATATCCACTGTAGCATGCAATGCAATGCAGTGCAGTAAGAAATGGCAGTGCAGAGCTATGGAGGTAGCTCAGTCAGTCAGTGAGCAGTATGTAGTGACAGGGTAGTTAGTGAGGAGTATGTAGAGGCAGAACAGTCACTGAGCAGTATGTCAGGTCAGAACAGTCAGTAAGCAGTATGTCAGGGCAGGACAGTCATTAAGCGCTTTGTCAGGGTATTCAGTGAGCAGTATGTCAGGGCAGGAAGTGAGCAGTATGTCAGGGGAGAAAAGTCAGTGAACATTATGTCATGGCAGGGCAGTCAGCAAGCTGTATGTCAGGGAAGGCAGCTCTGACATACTGCTCACTGACTGCCCTGCCCTGAAATACTGCTCACTGATTGTCCAGTCTTGCTCACTGACTGCCATGCCCTGACATAATGTTCACTGACTGCCCTGTCCTGACATACTAGTCACTGACTTCCCTGACATACTGCTCATTGACTGCCCTGCCCTGACATACTTATCACTGACTGCCCTGACATTCTGCTCACTGACTGCTTTGACATACTGCTCACTGACTACCATGCCCTGACATATAGCTGACTGACTGTCCAGCCCTGACATACTGGTCACTGACTGCCATGCCCTGATATAATGCCCTGATATAATGCTGATTGCCCTGTCCTGACATATCGCTCACTGATTTCCCTGACATACTGCTCACTGACTGCTTTGACATACTGCTCACTGACCGTCCTGCCCTGACATACTGCTCACTAACTGTCCTGCCCTGAACCGTATGTTAAAGCAGTCAGTAAACAGTCAGTGAGTGGTATGTCAGGACAGTCAGTGAGCAGTATATCAGAACAGTCAGTGAGCTGTATGTCAGGGCAGTCAGTGAGCAGTATGTCAGGACAGTCAGTGAGCGATATGCTGGATCAGTCAGTTAGAAGCATGTCAGGGCAGTCAGTGAGTGGTATGTCATGGTGGTCAGTGAGCTGTATGTGAGAGCAGTCAGTGAGCAATATGTTGGGGCAGTCAGTGAGCGGTATGTCCAGGCAGCCATTGAGCGGTATGTCAGGGCAGTCACTAAGAGGTATGTTAGGGCAGTCACTGAGAGGTATGTCAGGGCAGTCAGTGAGTGGTATATTAGAACAGTCAGTGAGTGGTATATTAGAACAGTCAGTGAGCAATATGTCAGGCCAGTCAGTGAGCAGTATGTTGGGGCAGTCATTGACCGGTATGTCAAGGTAGTCAGTGAGCAGCATGTTTGAGAGGTCAGTGAGAGGTAGGTGGGAACAGTCATTGAGCAGTATGTCAGGGCAGTCAGGGAATGGTATATCAGGCCAGTCAGTGAGCAGTATATCAGAACAGTCAGTGAGCTGTATGTCAGGGCAGTCAGTGAGCGATATGCTGGATCATCAGTCAGTGAGCAGCATGTCAGGGCAGTCAGTGAGTGGTATGTCATGGTGGTCAGTGACCTGTATGTGAGAGCAGTCAGTGAGCAATATGTTGGGGCAGTCAGTGAGTGGTATGTCCAGGCAGCCATTGAGCGGTATGTCAGGGCAGTCACTGAGAGGTATGTCGGCGCAGTCATTGAGCGGTAAGTCAGGGCAGTCATTTGAGCGGTAAGTCAGGGCAGTCATTGAGCGGTAAGTCAGGGCAGTCATTGAGCGGTAAGTCAGGGCAGTCATTGAGCGGTAAGTCAGGGCAGTCATTGAGCGGTATGTCAGGGCAGTCATTGAGCGGTATGTCAGGGCAGTCAGTGAGTGGTATATTAGAACAGTCAGTGAGTGGTATATTAGAACAGTCAGTGAGAAATATGTCAGGCCAGTCAGTGAGCAGTATGTTGGGGCAGTCATTGACTGGTATGTCAAGGCAGTCAGTGAACAGCATGTTTGAGAAGTCAGTGAGAGGTAGGTGGGAACAGTCATTGAGCAGTATGTCAGGGCAGTCAGTGAATGGTATATCAGGGCAGTCAGTGAGCAGTATGTAGGGCAGGGTATGTCAGGACAGGGCAGTCAAGTGAGTAGGGTGATCCATCAGTCACTTACCATGTGACTGCAGATAGAAGACTTCCTGGGCTGCTATCTGTGCTTCTCCTCTTTTCACATCCAATCCAATGTTCCCCCCACCCCACCCTCCACCCCCCCCCTCCCCCCCCCCCCGTGTTCCCCCCTCCACCCAAAAAATATTCATATGCAATATTTAATTTTTACCTGATAAACCAGTTGTCCTCCGGAGGATTTACACCCCCTTCCTGACCAGGCCATTTTTTGTGATACGGCGCTGCATTACTTTAACTGACAATTGCTGTGGTCATGCAATACTGTACATAAATGCAAATGATGTCCTTTTTTCCCACAAATTAAGCTTTTGTTTGGTGGTATTTGATCACCTGTCTGTTTTTTTATTTTTTGCGCTATAAACAAAAAATGACCGACAATTTAAAAAAAAACACAATATTTTTTTACTTTTTGCTATAAAACACATCGAGTAAAAAAAATGTAAAAAATCTAATTTCTTCATAAATTTAGGCCAACATGTATTCTGCTACATGTCTTTGCTAAAACAAAATCCCAATTACATGTAAATTAATTGGTTTATATGGAAGTTATAACATCTACAAATGGCGGTATATATACTGGAATTGTTTTTTTCATATACTAGTAATGGTGGCGATCAGCAACTATATAGCGGGACTGTGGCGGGCATTCTGACACTGGGGGGGAACTGACTAACTGCCACTGACATCCCAATGACACTAATTCAGTGATTAGTGCTAATAAAAAGCACTGACACTGTACTAATGACAATGGGCAAGAAGGGGTTAACATCTGGGGCGATCACACAGGGGTTAACTGTGTGCTGTTTTACTTTGTGTGCTGGGTGTGTGTTTTACTAGGGAAACATATACTGCTGTGTATGTCTCTGTTGTGCAGAGACATACACAGCAGTATGTTACTGCTGGCAGGAGAGAGAGACCTGTGTTGTTTACACACAGGTCTCTCCCCTGTCAGTGATACTCAGTGATCGCTGGGTGCTGGTGGGGAATCTCCATCTGGGACCGGTGTGGTTCGACATCTGTAGTGGTGATCGCCCCCTACCCGGAAAATGCAAAATGGCGTATATATACGTGATTTTGCGCAGCCTTGCCGCCCTGTAGCAGTAGTTCCGCTATAGGGTGGTAGGAAAGCGATTAAAACAAAACACCAATATTGCTTTCTACTTTTTAGTGCCAATATAATATATAGTGTGTATATTTTTTTATATATACTGTTTTAATATATCTATATTATCTATAATGATTTAAGACATTTAAACTCAGGCCATCCTCCTACTTACAAACCCTCTAGCATGACCCTCATGAATGTGACTGTTGGCATAACTGGTGACTGATTTTTTTTTTTGGCATTAGTAGCACAAGTGTCGCATGTAGTTGTGCAAATTGAAATGCCAGGGCTTGGTTCATCAGACTTGACATATGCAACACAGCCATCTGTGCCAGCACATGAAATAGTTACTGCCTACTTAACCAAACATGTGAACTGTTCTTTAGTTTCATTAATAGAAGAGTAGCCTGAATTTTAGATTGTGCATTTCATTCTTTTTCCCATAAGAGGACACTGCATATTCAGAAGTGGTACAAAAAATAGCATAGTATTTGCGTTTTCAGTTACATTTACAAACTAAATGATTTTCCAAACAAGGAAAATGGGTGATGCAAAAAATCTTAAATAAAATATAAAACTAACTTTTTATGCTGTGCACATCACTTTGTAAGGTTTTCAATAATATGGTTATTAATTTTTGTTTCTCTTGAACTATTACTGAGAGTACATCTATTGTTTTTTTTCCGAGCTGCCACTTGAGAACTTAGGACATTCAATGACCACATGGTCTGTATAAAAATTATCCTATGTTGAACAAACTTTGGTAAAACGTTTTAGAGATGAGCGAAAGAAAATTAAAAATTTGATTACGACTGATTGCGTATAGCGTAATAATCGTGGACATCTTCGTATTCGAGTCGACTAAAGTCGTCAGGGTGCGATCAGGGGGGGGCGAGGCTGTGAATTTACATACTTAAAAAGGGTGTTATCTAGGCTTCAGAGAGACTTTAATATTAGCATGCAGCATCACTTGTACCTTTAATTTAAATGCCCTTGGAGTCTGCTGTGGGGAAGAGAAATAATACTGACAGTCAGTTATGACATGCAGTATGAGTCGCCAGCTCTCGATCTTAGGAATCACGCACACGTTCACTCATTGGGGCAGTCACGGGGCCCAAAAACCAGAGTGGTTGGAGCCATCAAGTGTGTGGTCGGTGGATGGCGAGGCAGGCAAATTGTGGTGGCCATGAGCAAGGCACCCTATGACAAAAATGGAAACACACCAGCAGTTGTGATGAGACCTGAAAGTGGCGACATGGCCAGAGTGTAGCCGATAGAGACAGCAGCAATTGGGAGGCGCCGTACAGTGGACCCATGACACACTCTGGACCTGGCAGCAGCATGAGGAGGCAGGGTTACAAGGGGCCCATGACAGATTACGGACCCTGGCAGCCAGCATGATGAAGTCGGTTTACGGTGGGGCCCATGGTGAGCAGATTACGGGCCTGGCTAGCAGCAATGGGACGGCCGTACAGGGACCCCTGCCACACTCTGGGACCTGGCAGCAGCATGAGGGAGGTCGGTACAGGGGCCATGGACAGAATTACGGGCCTGGCAGCATGCATGAGGACAGTCTGTGTTACGGGGGCCCATGAACACCACTCTGGACCTCTGGCTAGCAGCATTGAGGATGGGCGGTACAGGGCGCTATGCACAGATTACGAGCCTGGCTAGCAGCAACTTGTGACAGGCAGGACTTTCAGCTTCTGCACGTCAACCGACGGGTGCGTGTTGTTACGAGCAAACTGTTGTCTAACCCCTTGGGAAACGGATTCACAAGAAAGACTGCCTGACGGAATCCGGTGAGAGAGGAAGTAGCAGGACGATTGAGGCATCTGAGATACGAGAGAATATGCAACAAGGCGACAACAGGGCACCAATCTTGTGTCAGATTACCGGGGCCTGGACAGCAGCATGAGATGCTCGGTAACTACGGGGGCCCATGGCAGAATTAGGGGCCTGGGAGCAGTTAAAGGGGAGGCCCTTTAATCTGCCCGCACCCTTTGACAAAAAATTTGGAACCCACCCGGCAGGGTTTTTGAGGAGACCCCGAAAGTGGCCCCCATTTTGGGAGAGTTTTGGCGATGGGAACAGCGCCCAAAGGGAGGCCGGGATTAGGGACCCATGAGAGAATCGGGAACTTGGCAGCAAACATGAGGAGGCGGTATATAGGGGCCCCTGGCCAGATTAGGGGGCCCGGGAAACAGCTTTTTAGGGGGGCCCCCAAAATCTGCCAGCACCCCCCTTGACAAAAAAAAGGAACAACAGCAGTGTGAGGGGACCTGAAAGTGGCACATGGCAGGGGAATGTTTGGGGAAAGGAGACAGCGGGAATGGGAGGCCGTACAGGGACCCATGAGAGACCCCCTTGGAACCCTTTGGGTGCCCGCCCTGGGGAGGCCCGGTATAGGGGCCCATGGCAGATTAGGGGCCCCGGCAAAAAGTTGGGAGGCCCTAAATCTGCCCCGCCCCCATATGACAAAAAAGGAAACACACCCGCCAGTGTGAGGAGACCTTTAAAAATGGCCCCATGGCCCGAGTGTGGGCCCATGGAGAAAGCAGCAAAGGGGGGCCCCGTTCAAAGGAGACCCCTGAGAGACTCTTGGGGTCCTTAGGAAACAGCCAAAGAGGGGGGCGGTTTTATTGGGGCCCATGGAAAATTAGGGGCCTGGCAGCAGTAAAGGGAGGCCCCTTTAAAACTTGCCAGCACCCCATGGGCAAAAAATGGGAAAAAACCAGCGTGTGAGGGACCTGAAAGTGGCACATGTTTTGGGGCTTGATTTATGGCGGATTTTAGTCAGTTGGGGTCAGGAACTTGGGGTTTTAAATCAGACTAATCCACGCCCTTTTTTTTATTTTCCCCAAAAGTGAGTCTCTCCAAAAACTTTGGGTGGGACAGTCGTTTTCCTCCCCCGGAGTTTGCAATAACCCCCCTTTCCGCCCCTTAAAAAACCCCCCGCTTGATTGCCCCCGCTACTTTGGCCCGGGGGAAAGACAGCCCTTTTAAAGGGGAAAATTTAGCTTTTGTTGGGGCCAAAGGTCAATTTTTTGTTGCCAAATAAGGGAAGGGGGTTGTCTACCTCGGTTGGGAGGGGTTTCCCGTCCAAGTGGGCCCAAGCCTTTTTTTTTGAAGGTCCTGCTCCAGGTTCCCCCTGATTGCTGCTGCTGCTGCTGCTGCTGGCCCGCCCGGTTTTTTTGGTTTTGTTTTTTTTCCTCCTGCGCTGGTGAAGAAAAGCTTTTCTCATCATCGACTGCGACCCGGGCCCGGGCCCCGCTGGTGGGGCTGCCATGCCTTTCCCTAAACCCCCCCCCCCCACCCCCCCCCCCCTGCCCGCCTTTGGAAAAGGGGTACCGCGGCGCGCAACCCGGGGCCCCCAGTGTCTGAAAGGAAGGACGTTTTGGCCCCAGAAAAAGGCAGAGACCACCTGACTTTCATTTGGGGGGGTTTTTTTTGTAAAGTTTTTTTTTGGCCCCCTTCGCCCCGGTGTGAAAAAAGGGGCCCCCAAATTTTTTTTAAACCGGGAGCGGGGTTCCAACAAAAGGGGGGACAGCCAAAAGTCAAACCCTTTGGGCTGATGGGGTTTTTATTCGGCTGTCGCTAAAGCAAAAAAAGGGAGCATGCTTTTGGGGGCCCTTTGTGCCAAGGAATGCGTGGGACCCCCCTTTCCCTCCTTTTACAGCAACTGCCACGGTGCGTCTGGGGGCCTCTGTTTCCCCTCTTTCCCCCTTTCCTTTACCAGATTTCTCCTGCTCCCCCACTCCCCCCCCCGTCCCCTTTGGGTGGGAAAAAACCCCCCCATTTCACTCAATTTAAATTTCCCGAGCCCAATTTTCCTCCTCTACCTCCTCCTCTTCTTCTGTCCTGCCCCCCCCCGGGGGGCATGTTGGGTTGAGATCTGGTTGCGCCGTCTACCGCACCCTGACCGCCTTTTTTAACGCTTTTTTTCCAGGAGTGCAACAGAGGGTTTACGTTCGTTCATCCCAAAAGCTGCCCACTCAAGAATAGCGTGGCCTCCCCCCAAAGGGGCCCGAGCAAGGGCGGTGTCACGCATTTAGCTGGCTATGGCTGACATCGAAGTTACACAGGGGAGTACCTTTTTTCCCGCTTTTTAAACATCAGGAAATTGTGATGGCCCTTTTTCTGGGTTTGTAAAAGGCCGGGGGCAAACATATGTAGGGTTGAATTCCCCCCTTGTTTTCAACGTCACAGCATGAGGAGTCGGTTTTTGGGGGGCCCAAAGGCAGAAAAGGGGCCTGGCAGCAGCCCCATGAGAGGGCCCCGTAATTGCCCCAGCACCCTTTTGTCAAAAAAAATTTAAAAACCCCCAGGGGCTTTTGGGGGGGGGGAGACCTGAAAGTTTGGAAAAGGCATGAGAGACTTTTGGACCCGGGAGCAGCTTTTTTGAGGAAGGCGGTATTAAAAGGGGGCCCCTGACAGATTGGAAAAAGGCAGCAGCCAGAGGAGGCGGTATTTTAGAGGCCTTAAAGGCAGATTAGGGGCCTGGCAGCAGCTATAGGGGGCCCCTAATTTTGCCAGACCCCCATGTCAAAAAAAAATTTAACACACCCGCAGTGTGGTTGAGGAGACCCGAAAGTGGCCCCATGGGAGAGTGTGGCGGGTGGGGGACCCGCCAAACAAAGGGGGGGCCGTTTCAAAGGGAAACCCATGAGAGACTCTGGACATTGGCAGCAGCATGAGGAGGCGGGGATATAGGGGGGCCCCAAAGGGGAGAAATTTGGGGCCCCGGGGGCCCGCCTATGGGCCCGTAATCGCCAGCCCCCCCTATGTCAAAAAAATTTTACACACCCAGCAGTGTGTGAGGAAAACCTGAAAGTGGACAATGGAAAATTTTGGCGATGGAGAAACCCAGCAATTTGGGGGGCCGTTTTTTAGGGGACC